CCTTCGCGCTTCCATGACTCTTGCTCCGGGTTAGCGGGTCAGGCTTTTAGGAGAGCCTCTGTACGCACAGCCTGTTGTGCCCTGCCTGCCGGGGGGAGCCTTGGATTGGCCTTTGGAAAAGGCCCCTCAAAGCTGCCGGGGGTTCGTCTCCGTGCGCTCTTGCCCAGAACGAACGGTGAAATGCGCGGATGGCCGCTGTTAACCTTCGATATCCAAATAAAACCTGCTTATATTGGAGAGCTCCCAGGCGTAAAGCTAATCCACGTCCACCTGAAGACCGGAGTTCAATAGAAAGAGCCCGTTTGTTCATCAGAATTTATGTTTGCAGTGGCAGTATGTGAACTGCTAGGTTGCATTCAAGGTTGACGCAGGTTCACCGACATTGTGACTTACGTAGAAGCACGTGTGTAAGATCCATGGGCAAGCATTGCGCCGGTGGCAGTGACTGACCTTGGACGTCTTATGGAGTGGCAGGGGAACAGCCTGACTTGACTTGTGTTCTGAACTTCTAGGGTTTTGGTCAAGTTGGCGGGCACTTCTCCAGAAGGCAATGGACCATGCCAGAGCAGCAATCTCTAACTTGGTAAGACACAGTCCCCCTGTGCCATTTGTCTCTTGGTGGGCTGATGATACTGCAGAATGAGGGTTCAGTAGCGTCCATGTCAGTGTTGGAGAAGATGATGAATCCAAAGCAGTGTTAGGTGCTACTGTGTGGGTTGTGAGTGAAATGTCACAGTAGCTAGCTGGCCATGATAAGGAGGTAGCTTAAGCAGTTTAGTGCTGGTGGGGTTATCGTTAACTGCTACGATGTCTTGGGTCTCTCAGGAAGCTGATAAGGGGGGGAGGGGGCAGTGTGCGGTTGGCGGGGTGAGCCTTGAACAGTGTTCCAGGAGGAAGTGCTGCTGAGGAAGCTGATTAAATGCCTATCGGGACAATCAACATGTGTTCTATTATGTTACTTTGGGGGTGGGAATTCAACCGCAAGTCCAGCCTTTGAATGCGACCTGTGCTTTGAAACAAATGTGCAGGATGAGGTAGCTCTGAGCTTGCTCAGCCAAGCCTGCCAGTCTTAGAGAGCTCAGACTGTGAAATGACCCTAGGCTAGGACTGCAAATGCGATGGTTTGGTCTCTGAAAAAGCATGCAGGATATGTGGGGTTGAGGCATGCCCTCTGCAAAGTGTGAGGGAAGCCAAGCTATCAAGCAGCTGAGCAAAGAGACTGCTGGGATAGACTGCGGTGTTGCCCTTTCTGAAATGTGAGCAGGCAGCTGCTTCATTGCGGCTAGCGTGGGCCAGAATGGAACTGCAAGTCTGAAATGACGTTGGTTTTGTTTTGACCAACCAAGCTGATGTCTGGTCTCTTCACCTCCAGCCGCTGACTTGTAGTTTGAGAGTGAGCTGAGAAATGTGGATGAGCTGCTGTTTGTAACAGGGCTTGGGCGCTTGCCACCAGCTGCTTCTCCAGTACAGTGGAGAGGGGCCGCAGGACTGTTGCTCCCAAAACTATTCCTCTGACCTTTTAGCCAGTCTCCTGCCTGTTCCCAGCGCAAACGTGGCTGCAGGCAATTTCGGTGGCTCTAATGGAAGCTGAGTGGTTCTGCTCAGTGCCTGGCTACGCCTGGAATTGAGTTTAACTGCCTGTTAATCTGAGCGACTGCCTTGCGCACGGGCTGCTGTTCTGTGGGCGGTTGGGCTGTGCGTTGCGGCTGTTCAGAAAAGTGGGCTCCAGCCTGGAAGCTGTTCTGCTTGGGCACTGATAAGCACCAGTCAGATGGTTCCAGCCCCTGGTGGGTGTGGGGGGTGTATCCTCAGCTTTCATGTTAGCTGAGGTAGCAGGATTCCCATGGGTCATCACTCTTCAGCCTAGCTGCTTTATAATACTCATCAGTAGCGTAATTTAAGAGTAGCCTGGGGCAGTTTAATACAAGATTATCTAGATACTGGATGAGAGTATTTACATCAAAGCAGATGTGGCTCAAAGGCCTTCCCTTTCCTCTGTCCTGATCAACGTTCCCTTCTGTGCGAGTTGCACGTGTTCAGGTCAGATGAGTGCGCTCCTGATTAAGAGCAGGAGTTTCTGCTTTAATCAGCCTTTGCCGTGGGGTCATGTGGGAAATGCTGCTGCCATTGGCTGTGTCATATCTGTAACAGACTCCAAGCTAGATTTTAACCAGTGTGGCTCTGAACTTGTGCAGGGCAAACGGATGGTAAATAAACTCTGGAGACCCTGAGTGGGTCTGAGTCTAACTGTCTGTTCAAAGCAGCCAGCCTGACTTATTGACAGCCAAACGCTTGGGCTGCACTAGAGCAGTTTCAGATGAACAAGCTGTATTTGGTTTGGAGCGTAGGTGCAGCTGGCTGCAAGGACTGTAGGCTGGTATAGGAAACTCCTCCATCCCATGACTGTCTTTCAACACAGTTTGGTGGCGAGTCAATGTTGTACACGCGCTTCAGCATTGCCCGGCAAACGGATGGAGACAACAGCCATGTGGAGATGAAGCTGTCTGCTGATGATGCTGAGGAAGGAGGGGAAATTGGGAGACCGGAGCACCTGCATGCCGGCATGCATCCTCCATGGAGGAATGGCAAGAACATCTGCTTCCTAGTCCTCGCAGCTGTCCTTCTCCTCTTTATTGGTAAGGAAGGGTGGGAGGCAGCTGCATGAAGTGGACTCTGGTATTGAGCATATCTGAGGCTGTTAACATTTGAATCTGTATTGTTGCAGGAGGTAATTAAAGAGCCTGGATCCAGGCTGCAGCCTCTTGTCACAAACTCTTAAGTATGTCTAGCTCAGACTTATGATACAGAATTGGCACAAAGAAGTGTGAAGTTTGACAGTGGAATTGTGACTTAGCTAAAGGGCAGACTGGTCCATGTGGCAAGTGTGCCAGTTTTCCCTCATTTATCTCTTAACACTTCTCTAGAGATGTGGGTCAACATATTGGTAAAGCCTCTGGTGCTCGTTTCTCAAGGGTTTTAACGCTGCCACTGACCTGAAGTAAGCATTCTCCTTCCCAAGTGGTGCTGGAGGGACTCTGCCAAGCACAAGATCAGATTTGCAGTGTACCTGAAAACATGCCAGCTCAGGGAAAATGTCAGGCTGCATATTCCTCTCTGTCCTTAGGTATGCCAGCTTGTCAAAAATGGTGTGAGAGCAGAGGTGCATCTTAACCCTGAAGCTGCTTTGAATGCACTTGTGTGGTGTGGGGCTGGTTTAGTCATCTTTCTGCAGCACAAAGAAATACCTGTTCTGTCTGTAGGTTTTCTGGTCGGCTACTTGAGTTATCGTGGACGAATGCAGAAGGCTAGCGGGTGTCTGGATGGAAGTGGCAAGTGTGAGGTGACTCCTACTGCATCTTCCTTAGCGGATGGTGATGAAACTGATGAAGAAGTGGTTCCTGGACCACCTGTCTTCTACTGGCCTGAACTCAGATCCCTGTTGTCAGGAAAGCTGTCAGACACGCACCTTGAGGACAACTTGAGGTAACAGTTCCAGAAAGCTTAGCAACAGCTATGAGAGAGGCACAGCCTATGGGCAGAACTTGAGCTCCTTTGGAGAGCAAGGCCTTAAAGACGTTGTGGGGTGGCATGTGGTTAAACATGGGCTTAAATGGCCCATCCAGCTTGGGTTTGCAGGCTGGAGCACTGCAGTGCAACCTGATGCTGTAGCCTAAGCTATACATCTGTTACCTACAGGCAAAGAGCAAGTATGTCCTCTTTTGAAGCTGGCCAGAGTAAAGATGAGAGCACTGCTGGCTACATTCATGAACAGTTCATGAGCTTCCGCTTGGATGAAGTGTGGAATGATGAACACTACATTAAGCTGCAGGTCAAAGGCAGGTACGTTAATGAAGAGATGCAGATCTCTTCTTTACAGCATGGATATCTGTAATCTTGAGCAAACGTGATTTCTGCTGAAAGCAGTGCTAAAATTGTGAGCCAGTTACCCATCTCCAAAGGTGGCCTTAGTCTAGCCAAGCAGTAGCTACTCCTGTCTCTTCTCAGGCTTTCTAAATCCAGAGGGTCTGGTAGCAGCCCTCTGCATTTTTCCTGGGACAGCTGTTTCCTCAAAGCATGCTTAGGAAGTGGAGAGAAAACAAACTCAAGTAAAATCTCAGCTGAAGGGCAGATTCCGTGTCTAAAACTGCTAGTATGGGCGACTGTCTTCTCACCCAGACAGGTGTTGCAGACCTGACAGTGGCTCCTGTAGTAGCTCAGGAGGGTATCAACAGGCATTGTGTTGGCTGACTGCTCATACCCTTGTGTCTGACCTGCCCCTTCATGTTGGTGGGGGGAGGAGGGGAAACGAATCTGCTTAGCTTCCCCTCTTGGGAGGGGACTAAGACTTGGAAGTACAGATTCTTTCTGCTACTTGTCTTAGAAATTAGCCTCCGTTAATGTCTTTGAACAACCCCCAGGGATTCTTGCACGGAAGTACTGGGATGAGTCTGCCTGTTTCAGGCTCTGCATTGACATGGTCAGGATTGCTTCGGCACAGACTGAAATATGGGAGCTAGTAAAATACGGAGTTTATATATGAAAGAACATAAAATTGTTTCTTTACATTTAACAGTAGCAACAACAAAGTGTCTATTCTGGAAGATGGTAAAGAAGAGGAGCTGGAGAGTCCTGATGCATATGTGGCATACAGCAGTTGTGGCTCAGTTGTTGTAAGTGACTCCAAGAAGGTCCTGGAAATGTGCTTGCACACTTACCGGGTGGCAATGTTCAAAATACGTCCCTTCAAGATACAGAGTGTATAAAGCCCTGTCCAGTTAGAGAGCTGGGGGGGAGGTGGTGGTGGGGAGAGTGGGGTGAGGAATGGGCCCATGTGGTGTTATTACTTCAGCAAGATGCAGAAGTTAACTGTTTAAACTTCTCTGCTGGGATCCAGACTGGAACCTTGACAGAAGTGCTGCTCCAACAGGCATGTTGCTTGCGATCAGAGTTTACATTGCTGAGCATGAACTCCCTGCTGTTAACGGGAGTCACTTACTGTGACTGTCGGCTGTCTCAAGTATCTGACTGACATAGGCTGCTGCATTTGTAACCAGTGTTTCTGTTCCAGGGAAAACCAGTCTATGTGAACTATGGACGGAAAGCTGATTTTCAGAAGATACAGAATATGGGTGTTTCACTGAATGAAACTATAACCATCTTCAGAGCTGGAAAAATAACCCTTGCTGAGAAGGTAAGCAGTCTGTGCCCCAAAGCCTAGCCAAACTTGGCAGCAGGAAGCTGTGCTTCCTCCTTTTGAAGGCACACCTCTGTGCTTCGGTTCAGGTCTCTAGAACTAGTGTATGTAGGCTTGTCCCTGCAGGTCTGGTCTTGCTTGTTTGCACTAAGCCTCCACGTGCGGGTCTGGACACCAAGACTGAACAGAGCTGGCTACGATTCATGGTGGCATTCTTCTTGGCCTCTGGCAGACTTGCTGGGACAGCTAAGCATCTGGAGTGATGGAGCTGGGAGGCAGAGGGGAGGCAGCCTGGGGTCTACAGGGTGCAGAGCTGGCTGGTATTGCTAGATGCAGCAACAGGGCTCCTAGAGGCAGAACAGCCTTGCCTCTAGAACACCCCTTGTTGCTGCAGCCAGGTACTTTGAAAGCTTGGCTGCAGTGTCTCACTTGGGCTCTTGCTGACTGTTCCCTTGGACCAAGTGAAGGTTCTGGCACTGCGTGCCCAGTCAACTGCCTTGCGTGTTGCTGTAATGTTCCCTCTGTGGCATGTAGAACTGAATAGCCAAGCAGCCTAAAGGATCTGAGTTCTTCTGTATGCAAGCCTGTTCTGTATGCAGAGCTGCCCCTCAGATGGGTGCTCCTGGGCAGGCTGGGGCACAGGACTCTTTCCAGTCAGACTCTGCCTGTCTGCATGCATCAGACACAGGCAGACCTGGAAGGTGCTTCTGCAAGGGGTGCTCACTGGTTCTCCAGTCCCCTTTCTGCTTTTCAAACTGGTGTCTAGCCTTGCAAGAGTGTTTGTACTGGTGGCGTATCGGAGGCAGCTGGGTTACAGGTGTATTAAACAGGGTCCTGACTAGGCCACTCTGCCTCTGTTTTCCATGTGAAGATAAGCCTCCAGTGGCTGCTTATCTTGTCTTGAGACTAACCTAATCTTGGGAAAACAGATGGAGCATAATGAAAATTAAATAACATCTTTCTTCTAAGCTGCTCTGAGGAACAAGTATGACCTGAAGGAATCATAGGGTGAGACACTAACCGCGGAGTATCCTAACTGTTCAAAAGGGTGTGAGATGCACTCTGCCTGGAGTAGGACTGAGCTGCTAGTATTCAGCTTCCTTGCATATCTATCACTGTCAGGTAGCTGTTAAAATCTTTTGTGGAGTTGGGCATTGAGGAGCACAACCCTTCACACCATTACTCCACGTACTTCCTTTAACTCCCCTTGCTTGCAGTGCAAATGTGCAGTTAATGTTCTTCTTTGCTTCAGGTTGCAAATGCCAGAGAGGCAGGAGCAGTTGGTGCCCTGATGTACCTGGACCCCAAGAGTTATGAAAACACAGATCAGCTTGTCCCCTTTGGACATGTGAGTATGCAACTGGCTCCCCTGGTTGTTCTCGTGAACCTTTGTCACTGTGGACTGCAGACTGCAGCAGTCCTTCTGCAGGCCTCTGGCTCAGCAGTGCTTCATGCCCTTGTGTAGATGAAAACTGTTGGGCTCCTCTGAGACTTGAGGACTCTTCTTGCTTTTCACAGGCCCACCTTGGAACTGGAGACCCGTTCACCCCAGGCTTCCCTTCTTTCAACCACACCCAGTTCCCATCAGTGGAATCTTCTGGACTACCTCGCATTGCTGTTCAGACTATCTCTAGAGGAGCAGCAGGCAGGCTGTTCAGGTAACTGTTTCTCCTGGCTCGCAGGCTAGGCTGCTGTGGCCGTCTTGCAGGGGTGAGGATGGTGCTGAGGTGCTGTGAGCCCAGGGAGCTCTCTGCTGGTCTCTGCTGTGTATCGCAGGGAGCGCTTACTGGAACTGGCTGGAGACATGTCGCTTGTGTCCATGTCTCATGTCTTAAAGACTGAACTTAATCCAGTGTTGGATTCCTCTTGGCCTCTGCATCCTACCTCTCCCTGCATAATTAGTGGTACAGGACTGCAAGCTATTTCCTGAGCAGGCCCTGAACAAGGCTGCACCTGCAGTTGCAGGCTTGCTTTTTATAGCTAAATGAGGTCAGAGCTGGATAATGAGCTCAAAGGATCTCTCTTTTTCCCTCAGCAAAATGAATGGAAGGGAATGCTTTTCGGAGTGGAAAGGTGGGGTCGTGGTATGTAGCATGATACCGAGTAGCACGAGCAACATGACAGTGAAACTGAGTGTGAACAACGTCATGGTGGACAGGAAGATTCTGAACATCTTTGGTGCTATAAAGGGCTTTGAAGAACCAGGTAATGGCAACTGCCTTGTGGCTCATTCTTGAGGGGAACCCTTCCTCTTCTGTGATTATCAAAGCATGACAGCTGCTCCCAGACAGAGACGGCCACTTCCTCAGCAGAACCAAGACCCTTCCCTAAGGGTCAAGGAAAAAGCTGAACCCCGCTGCCAGGGAAAGGCTAAATGAAAGCACGCAGTATGCCAGGTTCAGGAGTCAGACTCCGTACTCTGTTCCCAGTACAGAAGCTCAAAGCTGCTTTTCTGATAAATGGTGTTTGCAACCTGAAGCTTGCAGCTTAGATCTTGATGTCTTCTTTATAGATCGGTATGTTGTGATGGGAGCCCAAAGAGACTCCTGGGGCCCAGGAGCAGCCAAGGCTGGTGTTGGAACTGCCATTTTGTTGGAACTTGCCCGTGTGATCTCAGACATAGTGAAAAATGGTAAATATTTGTGTACAAAAGTATGGGGGTGGGAGGTGATGCAGGTTTAGCTCTCTGTGTGTTAACATTGGAGAGCCCAGTTGCAGAAGAATCCTTTGGGAAGGCATAGGGGATCTGACAAAGCTTCCTGAGAAGCTATTACTTGTCCAACATAGACAACTTGTCTGCAGTGAGCACTCGCTTTCAGGGGACTGCCTACCTGTATCTGATATGGCTTGAATGCAAAAATGTCCTTGGATAACACAGTGCAAGCCTCAAACTTGAGCTGTCTGTTGGACAGCCAGGCCTGAAGGTGGGAAAACACCGAAGTGGCTGACCAGCTGGAGTGGTGGGGGCTGCATAGTGGCACTTAGAGTGAGTGCTCTTGTATCCAGGGTTAATTCTGGGCTCAGGCAGCTCAACAAAAAGGGGAAATGCAGACAGCATGGGTTTCCTACACAGCTCTGCAGCATGGGGGGGCAGGGTACAGCATCCATGCAGCCACTAGCGTGCACGTTTGTCTGCAGCAGCCAGAATGCTTCAGCTCTGTCTGAGGAGCAGACGATTCATCAACCCAGGCCCTGGGCGCTAATCTACATCTCCATGGGGGAAGGGCAGACATCTCAGTCTCTCTCTCTTTGCAGAAGGCTACAAACCAAAGCGCAGCATCATCTTTGCTAGCTGGAGTGCAGGAGATTACGGAGCTGTGGGTGCTACTGAATGGCTGGAGGTACTGTTTCTTTGATGGACTTCTGCGTGATGACTGCGCAGTTGTGATTCCTGTTCCTTGGATTAAACATCCTGGTGTTGTACTGCTACTGCTCATCTTAAAATACTTGTTTTGTTCTAGGGGTACTCTGCCACACTGCATGCCAAAGCCTTCACTTACATTAACTTGGATGCTGCAGTGCTAGGTAACCTGCTACTCTTAAGTTTCTTGAAACTGAGTGGGACCAGAATAGCTTGACAGACATCCCTTAAACTCCAGGAACGGGGGGCTGTGCCAGAGGTTGATGCTGGGTGTTTGGCTGAAGACTAGCATGACTCCATTTATTCTCCTCTTGTCATTGAAGCTGGGAGGTTGCTGCAGCCTGAGCCAGAAGGAGGCAGCTCCGCTAGGTCCCAGTAGACTGTCCTGTGTCTGTTGAAGATCCTTTGGCAACAAGCTGTAGATCAATTGTTGCTCGGTCACAGGGCTGAGCAGCTCTAGCAGTGGTGGTTAATTGTGCCAGCATGTCAGACACCCTTTCGGTTTTTGCAGGCTTGGAACACATGAAGATTTCTGCTAGCCCACTGCTGTACACATTGCTGGAGAGAACTATGAAGGGGGTGAGTTGAAGGGTCTTGGGCTAATCAAGGTGACTGGTTTTAAGGAGGAACTGAAAGCAGCCAGAGCTGTGCTGGGTCACTTTGCCCAGCTGGCACCTTTTGAGGAAAAGGCCCCATTTAGGAGAAAGGGCTGAGATACTCCGGAGGGCCCTGTCTGAAGTCCCCTGGGCCCTGGGAATTGCAGTTCATGCATGCAGAATCTAAAATCGGCAAATGCCACAGTTCAGTGGGAGGAGGATGCCTGTCCTGCATGAACTGTGCCTGTGTGGAGAAAGGTCAGGGGTACACACCTGACTCTGGCATCTGCACAGCAATGCAAGCTCCAGGATGGACCTGGAAGCCCATGCAGGGGTCAGAAGTGCACTGACTGTCATCTCTGTGCAGGTGACGGACCCGAAAAAGGAGTCAGGAAGCCTGTATGACAGAGCTGGCTCTGACTGGGTAAAAACAGTGTAAGTATTGTCGTCCTAGGAGTGTCATACTGCTGTCTGGGGAGGGCTGTACCTGCAATAGGATGAGGGGAAATGGCCTCAAGTTGTGTCAGGGGAAGTTTAGATTGGATATTGGGGAAAAATTTCTTCATGGAAAGAGTAGTCAAGCATTGGAACAGGCTGTCCAGAGAGGTGGTGGAGTCACCATCCCTGGAAGTGTTCAAAAAATGGGTAGACGTGGCACTTTGGGACGTGGTTTAGTGGGCATGGTGGTGTTGGGTTGATGGTTGACTGATGATCTTAGAGATCCTTCCCAACCTTAATGATTCCTAGTTTTTACTTTCATTAAAAAATAATCCAGCCACCAAGCCAGGAAACATGAAATTGCTACTCTACCCTTAATTAGTTTAGTGGTAGACCTGGTAGTGTAGGTTAATGGTTGGACTGGATGATCTTAAAGGTCTTTTCCAACCTAAATGATTCTATGATTCTATGGCACGATGGGATCAGGCAAGTGTGAACCGTACAACACTAGCTGTACTTAGTGCTGCCCCAAGCTGCCTGTAGGCAGCCCAGACACCTTTTTGTAGGGCAAGAACAGCCTTGTACAAAGACCAGTGGCCAGAAATGGACTAGCAGCTCTCAGCACTTGGCCAGGCCTCCTTGCCAAAACCAGCCTTGTCTAGACAGGGTAGTCCACTTGGCTCAGAGCTTCAACTCTAGGGCTTTTGAGTAGGGCTTTTTTCCTGGGATGTCCAAACCAGGTGGTAACTACTCAATACTTGTCTTTTGCAGTGTTCCCCTTGGTCTGGATAATGCAGCATTCCCTTTCCTGGCCTACTCGGGAATCCCAGTGGTTTCCTTTGGTTTCTGGAATGTAAGTATTGTCTGTCTGCCTGCCTGATATACTCATTCCACAGAAAGTGCTGTAAGGATATCTGCTCTCCAGGATGGCAGAGCACAAGGTGCTGTCCCAAGTTCCTTGTCTGTGCAGGAGCCTCGCTGGGGGAGGAGATGCAGCCTCTGGACCTGGTGGCTGTGGCAGTCCTTGCTGTGAAGGCTGCTCCTGGGGCATGGTTGGCCTACAGTCTCTGTTGCAGAGTCCTGAACGCTTGTGGTTTTTTGGGAGAGGGGCCACTCACTCTTCTGGAGACTCAGATGTCAATGATTCAGAAGCTAAAAGCACTAAAAAGATGACAAGCTGTTGTTGCTTTAGTGGAAGACTGTACTATAGCCTGCTGGTTGGCAAGCAAAGCGCATTGGGGAAGCAGTGCCATTGGCTGGAGCAGGTACCAGCTCAGACTGTTCAGGTCTGCTGCTGCAGCTTGGGGCTGGCAAAAATGGTGTCAGCCAAGCAGCCTACTCTGTTACTGCAGGTGTGCAGCTGGGAGCCTTTCTGATAAAGGCTTCCTCTGCTTATGAATGCTTGGATTTTTTTAGTGTCAGATTTGTTCCACAAAAAACCTTGAGTTATCCTGCCAAGAAGGGTTGGAGGGTGCTGCCAGTACATACCAAACTGTGTGCTGGGGTTTTCCTGCCTGTGCTTCTGCAGTGAACTCTGATAGGCGGGGGGAAAGGTCTGTATGTCTTTGGGTCTAACAAACTAGCAGAGCATGCTGCTGATTGCCGGAAATTGTGAGGGATGAGAAGCAGGAGCTCCTCCCCTGTGCTTTGAAGTTTTGCCACTCAAGTCTCACTACTTAGTAGCACAAGGAGATGGGATGTGGTGGAAGTAACGAGCAAACTGTAGTGGGAGGTGAAAAATCCTAGCTGGAGAAGCAGTCTTGCCTAACTTCAATGCATTCTTTCTTGCAGAAAGATGAGGAATATCCCTTCTTGGGCACTACTCAGGATACTGTGGAGAACCTGAAGATGATTGACAAGTTGTATCCTCTTATGCGTGCTGCTGCAGAAGTTGCTGGACAAATAGCTCTCAGGCTGACCCATGATCGTGAGCTCTTCCTGGACTTTGAGAGATACAGTGAAGAATTGCTAGCGTTCCATGGGAAGTTTTTGGACTATGATCAGGATGTGAAGGTAAGAAAGGCTCAGAGTGCACTGAATCCCTGTAGGCTGTTATGGGGCCATGTGCTAATAAGGCTCTGCTGCCACTGGATACAGCAGGATGGACATCTTCCTCCTTTGGGCACGAGAGCATAGCATTCAGTGACCTGCATCAAAGTTCCCTATAGAGCAGTGCAAGCACAGTAGCTGTGGCAGACAGATTTAGCTAATCTGGCTGTGATGAGCTCTTGAGGAAATGGATGTGGATGGTTTCTCATCTGGTTATCATTCACAGCATGGTGCAGCTTTGCATCTCATTTGCACCTCTGCTGAAAGCCTACAAGAAACTGTGGGTGGGGAGAGATGTCACTGAGCTCAATGACCTCAGAAGAGCCTGCCAGGAACTTGCTCTGCTACTTGGTTAAACTGGCAAAAAAAAAAAAACCCAACACTTTCTCTTGGTGAGAGAGCAGCAAAAGAAGAAAATCAGGTTTGCTAACAGCTCCTCCCTCACAGATGGTGGGGCTGACCTTGAACTGGCTGTATTTTGCCCGTGGTGACTTCCAGCGAGCTGTAGATGCACTGAAAAGAGACATCGCAAACAGTGACAGGGAAAACAAGGTTGTCCGCAGAGTCCTGAATGACAGGATCATGAAGGTGGGTATCTGCAACTGGTTTTCCTTTCTTCGTGAAGGAAGAGCATGCTGGCTGGGGTGGGCCTCTTCTTAGGAGCCATGGGCACTGTGCAGGCCGGTGTCTCTTCTGCTTGCTTAGTGTCAGCGTGACTGACTTCTGCGCTTGCTATCAGGAGAGGGTCTGGCCTTTGCAGAGCTGTTGTGGGAAAGGGCTGAGTGGGGATCAGAGATTGGGAGCTCATGATGGGGCAGGAAAGAAAACTTGGGAGGTGAGAGTATAACCCTAAATTTGCACCTCTACTGCAGGTGGAGTACGACTTCCTCTCCCCGTACCTCTCGCCAAAAGTTGCTCCTTTTCGCCACATCTTCTTTGGCAAAGGCTCCCACACCCTGCAGAGTCTGCTGGAGAACCTGCAGCTGCTGAGAACCAGCAAGGACAGCGTGGACGTGAACAAACTGAAAGAGCAGCTGGCCCTGGTGACCTGGACCATTAAAGGGGCTGCCAATGCCTTAGTGGGTGATATCTGGGATACAGACAACGAATTTTAGACACAGCAAACACCTGGTTAAGGTACAGGATTAGGGAAACCCATTCCCTAACATGGCGTTATTTTTCTGTAGCTTTTCTGGCAACAAATGTTTTGACCAAAGTTGAGCATAAAATTTAAATCTCACCTTGATAAATTCACAGGAGGCAGTTTTAAAGCAGGTACTAAGATTACCATGAAATCTTCTCTGACCAGGCTCCCATCTGACCACAGTCCAAACCGGTCACTTGCAGCTCTTTGTGGGGCTTGCTCTCCAGTGTACTTGAGAACTAACAGCTGAGGTGACTCCTGAACTGGTACCTTGAGTGGGGAGGTACCTCATCTATTTAGGGTTTTAATTGTTGGCCCCCTAAACCTGGTGACAAAATAGGGAATGGATTCCTCTTAATGCTTGTAATGAGGGTCCCTTCTGTGGCAGGGGGCTGCAGAGGCCAACCTGTAGTTCAAAAACAAAACAACGTAGTAATAGCCCGCAAGTGCTGGATTATGAGCAAGCTCTGAAGTGCCCGGCCTGCCTTACTCAACAGCAGGGTCCCAGTGATGTCTTGGAGGCTTGCTTCTGCTGAGGCAGGTCTCGATACCCAGGGAAAATGACCCAAAGATTACCTAATGCCCCCTTTATATCCTTAGCTGGCACCTCAGGGAGTCCTGCAGCATTGAGAAATGGCTCTAGACTGGCACTTCAGACCTTGCTGCTCTGGGGCCTTTTGTGAAATTGAGTCTCTTGCTGGCCAAACCCTGTTTGATACCATTTTGCAGGATGGCTCTTGTTTGGCACTGAGATATTTACTTGTTTATTTATTTATCAGTGACAGCGTTCACTATAAATGGTGTGGTTTTTTTATAGAAGATAATTATCGGAAGCAGTGCCTTCCATAATTATGACAGTTATACTGTCGTTTTTGAATAAAGCAGCATCTGCTATTACAATCAAACATGATACTGGAACTTTGCATTTCAAATAATCTAAACAGGCCCCTCCAAAAAAAGTTTTTGAAAACTAAGCAATTAAGCTTTCTGCGGCAAAAACACCACTCTGGAAGAAACTTGAAGGTGTAAACCTGGTAGCAGGTCTCCAGGTTACGCTCCAAAAGGATCCTTCAAATGCTGAAAACCTGGGTGGAAACTCAAATACTAGACATTTGGCTTCCCTGGGGTGTCCATGCCCCTCTGTGGGCTTCGGACTCCCTCTTTGCCCCCCTTTCTGGATGCCATGTGCTCACATGGGGAGCTCCTGGGCCCGGTGGAGGGGCTCACTACATAGCCTGAGCTCCACCTGCGGCAGCACACAAACTTCTTGGACCTCAGATGAGGCATTGGCCCGATTTTTAAATGGCAGCTTTCTGCAAACTTCCAGTACCTTATGTATCATGAAACCTAACTGACATTATCGGGGGCAGTGTCTTCCATAATGTGTAAAGAACAAGGTAGTTTTTGCCTACCACAGTGTTATATCGGAGGCAGTGACCTCCATATGTTGCACTATGGGTGTACGTAATTATCGGGGACAGTGTTTCCCATAATTGTTCTATACTTATCATGCAATGTCATCTGTGAAGCTTGATGATCCATGTTAGATACTAATCAGTTTCCTGCAGTCCTATTTTTTCACTCTCCTGTGGTGATGCAGATACAAACTTTGGTCTGTTATGTACTTCCCTAGGCTCTACCTTCTCCATAGGCTGAACTGTTTCAAATAGCTGTGCTGTCTTGAAGTGGCTTCCTGCCTCCAGTCATGGGACTGGCGCTTGAATGTTTAGCGGAAACTAGGCTAGTTAGACTGTGTGCTCTGTGATTTAGTAAACTTCCTTCAAATCAGTTACAAAGACTTGGGGAATTAAAGGTGAATGTAGGGCTTGGGGCTGACTGCTGTCTGGAGGGCTCCGGTCACCGCTCTAGGCGGGTGTGTGTACTTGTTGAGAGGCTGGCCTGCTTTGGCACTGGGGTGATGCTGGTGTGCGTGCATGGGAAGCTGCTTGCTCCCCAGGTCTCGCTGGAAATGCCAGCCTTGCCTCCTGAGTGTTGTGTGGAGGCGGGGAAATCGGTGGCGCCTTTCTCGTGGTGCCCCTCTGCTCCCTGACCTGAAGCTGA